GATGCTCCCACATGGCTGACCACGGTTCAAGTCCTGGACCTGGCGGCTTGCTTTCTCATCTTCTCTCTCACTTTCTGTCTGTGTGTATCTCTCTGGTCAAATTAAAAATGAATGAATAAAGAAAGCTCAATTAAAAAAAAAAAAGAAGTAAAAACATAACTCCAGTACTGTTTTTACATATAAGAAAAATGAACAGTAATTCCTTACTGTTTCTTCTATAGTCTAATGATTTACTGTTCCATTTCTCCTGACTTTTGTTTTACAGTTTGATCCAATCATGGTCAATCTAAATAAATTTAGTAGCTGAAGAATCTGGGCATTTGCCCTGTAGTTTCCTATTGTCCATATTTTTCTGACTGCATTCTAGTGACATCACTTATTACTATATAGTCTAGAGAAAGTTTTAAATGTGTCTTTAACAATTTAGTAACAATATTAAAAAAAAGAGATTTATTTATTTATTTCCATTTGTTACTATTATTACTATTATTATTAATATTATTTAATTTGACCAGAGAGAGAAAGGGAAAGTGAGAAAGTAAGCCGCCAGGTCCGGGACTTGAACCGCGGTCAACCATGTGGGAATCTGGTGCCTTTAAAGCATATTAGGTTATTAATATTCTAATATTGTCTGTTTGTTATTTGTGGTGTCAGATTATTAACATTTTTAGTTATAAAATACCTATAATTAAAAATTAAGGACTGCCATTTTTTTCCCTCTGTCAGTGATGTTTTGAAATTTAATATATTTTTCCAAGAGCCGGGACACAGTATTTTTTTTCACATATGGTTAAGGAAGTTCAGTTAACTGTAATAAATGCAATTCATTCTGGTCTGCCTAAGTTTTCTTCATGTGTTTCAAAAGAAAAATCTAAAACTAGGATAAATTTATTTCTAAAAGAATATACTTAAGCATATTTTATAAGTAACCTAATTAAATATTTAAGGTTATTTATCACTGAACAGGCTTGTGCCAATAAGGCAGGTTTTTTTAAAGCAATGTTCTTTTTTAAAAATTATATACAGTAATTTTAAAGTTATGGAAGCATTTTTTCTGTGTTGATTGATTTTTATAATAACAGCTATGTGTTATTATATAATACAAGTTGACTAACCCTAATCTGAAAATCTGAAATGTGAATTGCTCCAAAATTAGAAACTTTCAGGGCACTGGCATAACACCGTAAGTAGAAAATGCCACGTCTCACCTCATGTGATGGGTCACAGTCAAACCCTGCAGTATATAAAATATTGAATAGAAGTACCTCCAGGCTCTGTGGATAAGGTCTATATAAAATGTACATGAATTTCATGTTTAGATTTGGGTCCCGCCCAGGATATTTCATGTATATGCAAACATTCCAAAATCTAGAAAATTCTTAATTTGAAACACTTCTGGTCCTAGGCACTTTGCTTAAGGGATACTTAACCTGTACCCTCATTTCTGAGAAAATGATGTATTCCATGTCACTTTAGTTTTTTTGAAAACTCATGTGTTCAGCAAAGATACCCAGTGTTTTTAGACCTGCAGGGATAGTATGCAAGAATGTATGTGTTGAAATGGCGTAGGACTGGTGAGCGTAGTCACATTAACTGAAAATGCGTGGTGGGGCTAATTTCCAGATTAATTCACCTGCTCTTAACTGCCAAACCTTTTCGATTTTCCTTTATTCTAGTGTCAAAATGAAGTTGTTTCATAGAATATCATTATATCTTTCAAAATAGTACAGAAGAGATTAAAGAATAAGTACTTGATGACTTTCCTGGAACACTTTAAAGATATGTTTATTGTAGCTAATAATTCTTATCTTCTTACCTCTTTTGTGTTGAGTCAGATTCGCTCAATTGAAGGCCAGTATGGCACACTTCAAGCCTATGTGACTCCAAGAATTCAACCCAAAACCTGTCAGGTCCGCCAGTACCACATCAAACCGCTTTCACTTCATCAAAGAACTCACTTCATTGATCATGACAGGTGGGGCAAAGGAGACGGTGTTCAAATTTCTTTTTCATGAAATCAAAATGTTCATTTATCTGATGTATAATATTAATTAGAGACAAATTGGGGGCCAGCAGGTGAAATGGTGGTTGAAGACACTGGACTCCCACATAGCCGACTGTGGTTCAAGTCCTAGACCTGGTGGCTCGCTTTCTCACTTTCTCTTTCTCTCTCTCTCTGGTACTCCCACATGGCCGACTGTGGTCCGAGTCCTAGACCTGGTGGCTCACTTTCTTACTTTCTCTCTCTTCCTCTCTCTCTCTCTGGTGAGCACACATGCCCTATGGCAAATTTAAACGATTATAATAACAAATGAAATTAAGTAAAATAATTCTAAAAAAATTTGTTGATAAAAATTAGTTATTTTATGCTTGTTTAGTTACTGTTGCAAAATCCTGTTTGTTACTGTGTACATGTAACAGGTAGGGTCTTCAAGAAGTTTGTGGAAAATGCATATTGTGAGAATATATATGGATCTCACATTATTTTGCACCATGATAAACGTGTATACTAATTCCATTTCTTGATGAATTTTCTGAAGTCCCCTCATGTAATAAGTTACACATGTTTTCAACACACAAAAGCATGCTTTTACTATTAAATTACAGACCCATGAATACACTGACTCTAACAGGTCAGTTCAGTTTTGCTGAAGTTCACTCCTGGGTGGTCTTTTGCCTGCCTGAAGTTCCTGAAAAACCTCCAGCAGAGGAATGTGTGACATTTTACTTTCAGAACACCTTCCTGGATACACAGCTTGAAAGTATCTACAGGTAAATTAAACCTATTGTTAGTGCAAGAGTGTTCTTTTATACAAATGGAGCTTGTACATTTTCATGTATCGGAAGGCAGGAATATTTGCAAATCATGTAGTTGAAAACTTAATGCTGTGCAAGACAACCTACTGAAAAACAAATTGAATGAGTTTAGAAAAGTGATTAAGATGACAAGATGACTGGGCAAAGAACAATACCTTTTCTAAATTCCCAGTGAGAACAATAACCAGTTAGAAAACAGTTTATTCATTTCTTCCATGAATAAGAGAGAGAAAAACAAGAGAGCACTCCCAACAGGCTCTTGTGGTTGCAGTCCACCCGCAGCCTCAGCTGCCCTCTGGATCATCATGGGCATATGTGCTCACAGTGAGGGCTCTAGATAGGAACCTAGAACCTTCTGTGTTTTAATTAAGCAGTTCAACATGCTTTCTATATATGAGATTAACTATTGGAAATATTATTAGCAAAAATGAAGGAAAAAGTTGTTTAAGTGAAGTACTTACATAAATTGCCATGTATTTTAGGAGGCATGTCTCTAGCATCTTTTATCAGAATGTTTAGAAACTGAACTAATTAAATGGTAAAGGATTAAATGTTTAAATGTGCTTTATATTAATGAGTCACGTATGCAAAAAATCTAAAATAAAACCTAAATACTAAGTGCTAGTCATAAAATTTATATTTGCTGGATGACTTTCTTTTGGAGCTCGTCTTTTAAAAAATATATTAATTTTACAGAAAAGGAGAAGGAATTTTTAAATCTGACAACATTTCCACTATATCCATCCTAAAAGATGTGCTTTCTAAAGAAGCTACAAAAAAGAAAATTAACCTCAATATATCATATGGTAATATATATGCATATATTATTTTTAATTTTTGTTGCTGCTGCTGTTACGATAATGTTTCTGATCAGACTACCTAATTGTGCTTGGCCGCCTCCTTCTAGAGATAAATGAAGTATCCGTCAAACACACTTTAAAGCTGATTCATCCAAAGCTGGAATACCAGTTGCTTTTGGCTAAGAAAGTGCAGTTAATTGATGCTTTAAAAGTAAGTCTAAGTGTCATGGACCCATGACCATTATTTTAATATTTTAACAACTGGAGGTCAGGGGTGCTGACCCTGTGCAGTCAAAAAAAATGACATAGAGTTTTGATTCCCCCAAATTAATAGCCTACTGTTGACCAGAAGTCTTACTGATAGCATAAAAGCGGGCTGTGAACACATCTTTTGTGTGTTAATGTGTATTGTGTACTGTATTCTTACAATAAAGTAAGGCAGAGAAAAAACATTATTAAGAGAACCATAAGGAAGACAAAATACATTTATAGTACTGTACTGTATTTTTCAGTTTATTTATTGAAAAAATGTGCATATAAATGGACCCATGTAGTTCAAACCTGTGCTGTCCAAAGGTCAACTGCAATGGGATTTCTGAAATTATAAATATCTTAATGTTACATTGGATTGGAATTTGAACATTAAGGTGCTCTTATTTATGTTTTTAATTTTAAATAAGGAATTACAGGTTCATGAAGGAAATACAGACTTTCTGATACCAGAATATCGCTGTATTCTAGAAGAGGCAGATCACCTACAAGAAGAATACAAAAAGCAACCTGCACATCTCGAAAGACTCTACGGTTAGTGGACTATTCTAGAAACCTTGCCATACTACTTCTTATTTATTTATTTATTTTTTTGAGAGGTTTTTACTATAGGACGTATGCACTCACCGGAAAGAGAGAGAGACAGAAAGTGAGAAATCACCCCCCGGAGGGATGGCCACGCCACAATCCCTTCTCTTCCATTCTCCTCTCAGGATCTTGGGCACGCACGCAAACACAGTTGGCAGGATTTTAAGCCACTGGGCCCAGGACTTGAACCACGGTCGATTACATGGGAGTCCAGCGACATAGCCCTTATGCCAGGTGCTGGTCCCAGCCATACTTCTTTTTAAGTGGCTATTTGCCAGGGATCATATGAGAGAAGCTGGGCAAAAGAGACAAAGGTTACAACAGTCACGAACCAGAGACAACGTTTATTGGGCAGTATCTGTATTTCGCCAGGCTAGTTTTAATTTTTAATATTTTTCCTTGATAAATAAATGTACTGAGATGACTTGATCTATGCATATGTGAAGAAGCCGGATATAAAATGAATATAACCTGTGAAGCATAAGAATTTAGACTATCTTTATATAAATAATTTTCAGGTTTGGTTGCTACTGTGAAATATAAAAATGCAGCATTTAATATTACAAAGGCAAAATTTAATAAGGGACAGTACAGTGTCAGTTTATAGTTCAAAACTTATTTGCCTTGGTGGTGAAAAGTTGAGTTTCACAGAGTGTATTGAAAGAGTGAAGGTGATGTGGAGAGAGGTAGGAAGGAAAACCTTAAGAAAAACAATTATGGGGGCCGGTAGGTGGTGTGGTGGTTAAGGACGCTGGACTCCCACATGGTAGGACTTGAACCGCGGTTCAAGTCCCGGACCTGGTGTCTTGCTTTCACACTCCCTCTCTCTCTCTCTCTCTCTCTCTGTGTCTCCTTTGTCAAATTAAATAAATTTTAAAAAATTCTTTAAAAAAAAAAAAACAATTATGGGGTCAGCAGGTGACGTGGTTGTTAAGGCACTGGACTCGCACATAGCTGACCACAGTTCGAGTCCTGGACCTGGTTTGCTTGTTTTCTCACTTTCCCTCTCTCTTTCTCTCTCTCTCTCTCTCTCTGTCTCTCCCTGGTTAAATTAAAAAATAATAAATTAATAAATCTTAAAAAGAAAAACAATTACGTTAGCAATCTTTGAGCATGGCACACTATAGGTAACATTGTCATACTCATCTTCACAGGGGATTTTAATCCTTGCAAACAGTTCTGCCATGTTCGCTTTTCATGTTCTTTAACTAAATCCAAGACGGAAGGATTTGTTATCACATCACTAGTGTCAGAGCCAGCACGAGAACCTTCTCACCCCAAAATACATGCTTTATATATTCTGCCAAGTCTCCCCTAGTCAGAGGCAGCTGGTATTGTCAGTACACTGTAATCCTTAAGCCTGCCGAGTGCATTTTTAAAAAATTATTTTATTTTTTATTTATTCATTCATTTTTTTTTTTTTTAAATTTGACCAGAGAGAGACAGAGGGTGAGAGGGAGAGGGAGAGGAAGTGAGAAAGCAAGCCACCAGATTCAGGACTCGAACCCCGGTCAGCCATGTGGGAGTGTCCCACGCCTTAACCACCATACCACCTGCTGGTCCCACTGAGTGCATTTCTTACTACATACCCAGTGACTAAGGCATACTCTAATGATAGTGTCTAATGGCTTAATGTTTACTATATGGCAAGCGTATGATCCCTTTCATCCTTATGAGATCAGTAGTGGCAGACCCACCATGTCTTATCACTGATTCCAAAATCCAGAAAGCTGTGAAACCAAAGCTTTTTATCATAAATCATTTGGCAGCAAAATCTGACTTAATCAGAATTAATTTAATGACGAAAACCAACTTATACTGACATGAGGTTATTTATAATCTTTCGTATTTTATTTAGTGCAAACAAATATTCATGCACATATTTTGTTGTAGACATATTCCTATGGTTTGTTATTGTATGCTACCACTCAGTCTCCTTGGATTAATAACATACATGGTATATTCCTTTTAGTATATTCCTAAAATAGGACAAATTCTGAAAGACATCTTGCATCAAGGGTTTGGATAAAGGATTGAACACTGGAATTATTCCTATTTTTCATGTTAGAAAACTCAAAGGTGAAATACTGGGTCATCCAGAAAGCATGATGCCTTTTTGCACAGAAAAACAATTAATACCACATGATTTTTCCAACAACCCAATAATTTGCTCAGATCTTTAAACCCCAGACTATTTGCTAAGTCAAAGAGGTGGAATATTTTGGTTCAGTTAAAGCTGTTAAGGATAGAATCTGCCCACATTATGTCAAAATGTTCTGCATGGTGGGAAAAATAAACCACTGTTGAAACATTATATGTACCAGTAGCAGCTGAAAATGTCCAGGAGTTGATGTAATTAACAACCTTCACCCAATTATTAAGGGGGTTGTTAGCTAAATAATTTATACCTTAATTGAATGAACAGCTTTTGCCCAATTTTTTGCTCACCCCATAATATATATTTTTAAGGATCAACCCACTAAATAGAACTCCTCAGTAATACAAAATTAACATTTTTCTTTATAGGAATGATCACTGATCTTTTCATAGATAAGTTTAAGTTCAAAGGCACCAACGTGAAAACCAAAGTCCCTCTTCTGTTGGAGATTCTGGACAGTTATGACCAAAATGCATTGCTTGCGTTCTTTGAGGCAGCATGAAGTAGTAGCAAGGTAAAGTCCCAAAGAAGTCTATTTAAATGAAAAACTTTAAAACAGAATTACAAAGTGATTTTACCTACGTTTATTTCAAATGCCTTTTAATATCTAAAACTGAGATATGATGGCTATTTTAGTAATGCTCTTATTAATATTTCTTTTGACAAATGAAACATGAAAAAAAAAGATTTTTTAATTTTTAAAATACACGCATAATGACTAGAAGAAATCTTAATGAATTTTAGGCTAGTGGATATTTTATCTTTTGAACCAAGAAATTGTATTTGGAAAGTAAAAATATATTTTAAAAATATGTGCAGATATTTTATAAGGTGTACACACATGTAAATATGTCAGCTGCTCTTTACAGGTTTCAAAATGTATTTTCATCTCTTCCCTTACCTGTTCTTCACAATTGTTCTGTAAGTTTGTCAGACCATATAAGAAAACTGATTCTTGGTGAGGTTACATGATTAAGAGGTCATGCCAGTGTTTTATAAGCCTGGATCAGAACTCAAGTTTGGTACCTGGTTACTATATATATATCACTAACCAGCAAGAATAACCTACTCATTGTTTGTAGGAGTTGGGATTGACTTACAACTGAGTTCTCTCTTACTTGGTAACACTTTACCACCTGCCTGGATGCTTGACTTGGCTCAGTGCTTTAAATTGTGGCCAAAGAGATAAGCAGAGCTTATACAGACTGGGGGGATCTTGTGCTGTGACCAGCCCAGCTACACAAGTATACTACGGGGGGAGAGAACAGAAATAGGGATGCTTCCTAGATTTTCCTGCACTAGTACCCATTAATTTTTTTTTGGGGGGGTATATAAAGGAAAGTATGACTTTAAGCCACAGAAGTTTTAGTCATTAATCTTAATGTTTATTCATTTCAGGAGAATATTATAATTAAAGTTTTAAAATGGTATACTGATAATGGAAAATGAGATTTTCTTTATGCTTTTAAGAAAGGCAGTATTTGGGATCAGCCGATGATGGCATAATGGTTACGTTCTGGACTCTCACATAACTGACCACCATTGGAGTCCCAGACCTGGTGGCTTGAAACACACCGGGTGCATGTGTGTGTATGTGTGTGCCCAAAATCCCAAGAAGATACTGGTGGAGAAGGGATTGTGGTGTGACCATCCCTGCTGGGGTGGTGGTTTCTCACTTTCTGTCTCTTTCTCTCTCTGCTTCTCCAGTGAGCACACACACCCTATAGCAAAAATCTCTCTCCCCCCCCCCAAAAAAAAGGCAGAATATTTTTCAGGAAATAGTACTTCTTAATTATGCTGTATTTCTTAGTTATGTGAAAGTCTTGTATATTGAATGTAAAAAATTTGTTAAAGGCACATGTTGAGTTTTATTTTAATAAAGTCATATTGATTTTACAATGTTTAAATAACCTTCATTTCTAAATGGAACATATATGTGGATGACTAGAATTTCCGTGTGCTTTTAGTAAACTGCCACAGCTTGAGTAAAAACAGACATTAACGACTGTTTGAATTCCGAATAACACAATACTTTTATATATTTGTCTATATTTAGATCTCTACTGTAGCCTAAGGTGGCATCTTAATTGAATATTTTTTTTTTTGGAGAGGTTTTTGCTACAGGGCGCGTGCGCTTGCCAGACAGAGAGAGAAAGAGTTACAGAAAGCAAGAAATCACCCCCCCAGGGGGGATGGTCACGCCACAATCCCTTCTCCTCTGTTTTCCCCTCGGGATCCTGGGCATGCACGCACACGCGCCTGGCGTGAGTTTAAGCCACCGGGCCGGGACTCAAACCGCTGTCGACTACGTGGGAGTCCAGCGACATAGCCATTACGCTAACTGCTGATCCCTTAATTGAATCTTTATTGGGAAAAATAAGATGCAATTTCTGCCTACTATGAATAAACACCTAAATGTGAGCAGCGTGTTAAATGACTTATGCACGTTATTTAATCCCATAACAACTGTATGGGGTGCTGATATTTCTTCCAATCAATCTGAGAATCAGAAACAAGTTGGCCTAAACCAGTAAGTAGCCAAGTCAGATTTTAGGTACTGGAAAGTAAATGAGCCAAGCTAGAGGGAAACGCCCTAATACAACAGTTGCCAAAGTTTAATTCGTTTGTCCTAAAGGCTTGGCGACATGCCAGGCCCTGAGCCCAGGACCACCTGGTGGCTGGGTTTAGAGTCCCAGCGGCGCGGTTCGCGTTCCCTCCGCCCGCCGCAGGCGTTTTCCCTCCCGCCGCAGTTCGACGTTTCTGCGTCCCGCCCCTGCTCAGTTTCCTTCGCGGCCGCCTTAACTCGCCTGCGACCGTGTCGCGTCGGTGACGTCACGGACCCCGGCCACTCTCATTGGTCCATTTCAATAGTCGCGGGATACTTGAACTGCACGAACAGCCGCAGCGCCGGGGCGGGCTGCTCGCTACTCCTCCCGGTTGTCTTTGGTCCCCAGCGCCCGGCAGTGCCCGCCTGCGCCTTTCGCAGCCCTCTCGGCCCTTCGCGGTCCCGAGCCGGGTGAGCAGGCGGGCAGGCTGGCCCGGCCTGTGGCAGGCGGCGACGGCTGGGGCGTTCCTTGGCGGGGTTGGAGAGACCGGTCGGCTGGGTGGAGTGCACGCTGCTTGGCGCCCCAGCCTGATCCAGCCGCCCTCCGCCTGGAGCAGCGATGTTGGGCAGCTCCGCGCCGGGTCCTGCGACCCGCGAGGCGTGCTCGGCACTGCTAACGCTGCAGCAGACGGCGCCCCAGGAGGACCAGGAGAACATCAATCCCGAGAATGCGGCGCCCGCCCAGCAGCCGCGGACCCGGGCCGCGATGGCGGCATTGAAGACCGGGAACCCGCGGGGTGCAGCACCGCAGCAGAAGCCCAAGACGCGACGGGTAAGAGATGCAAAATATCTGTAGGAGGAGGGCCGAGCGGGAGTCGAGCATGGGCTTTAACACGCAGAAAAGACGGGAGAAAGCAGCCTCGTGGCTTTTTAGGAGAGAGGCCCGGGTCTGGAGTCTATTTGGTTCCTGGTTTCTAGTGTGTGAGATGCCACTGTAGTAGCTTCTCCCATTATTCTTCGCATTATGACCTCGCCAACCTTGTGTGTTCTTGCCTACCTGCCCTATACTGGGGGGGCTTCCTATAATCAGATCAAGCCCTACAACGTTAAGGTGCCCACTTTGCCCAACTCCGCCTTTCTCTCTGCTTTTAAACTTCGCACTGCTCTAGGACCCAGATCTCCTCGCCATCTGGTTAAGCGTTTACCTCTACTTTAGGAAAGGGTATGAAAAAAATACTTTGCTTTTAGCAAATTCCGCCATTTTGGCCGGATTTGCTCTGTTGCTCCACCCTGGGGCGAAAGTGGTGAACCAACACTTTGCCATCTCTTTCCTAAACTTGTCATCTGTTGGCCTGCCACCCCACCCTTCTTGTCCCCTTGATTAGCTTTGCATAATTCCTCTTAGTAGTCTTTGTAGGAATGCCTTTGACAAACAGAAACATTCCTATCTGTCTTTGACTACTCAAAATAGGATTTGCCTGGATTTTGTTTCAGAAAGTTTAATTTTCCTGATAGAGTTTTTGGGAATAAAAGTAAAGACTGAGACCTGTAAGGGGAAGAAGGCAAAACTCCAAGCTAATAGGCTAAAGCCAGTTGTTAATTTCTTCTTAGGTTGCACCTCTTAAGGATCTTCCTATAAATGATGAACAAGTCACCATCCCTCCTTGGAAAGCAAACAGCAAACAGCCTGCATTCACCATTCATGTGGATGAAGCAGAAGAGATTCAAAAAAGGCCCGCTGAATCAAAAAAAATAGACCATGAAGATATGCTGGCTTTTAATTCAGCTATTACTTTACCTGGACCAAGAAAACCACTGGTACCTCTTGATTATCCAATGGATGGTAGTTTTGGTAAGTTTTCAAGAAAACCTGTATTGAATTAGGTCATTATAATCATTAGACTTGCAATCTTTCGCTTTTTAAGACATTGCCTAATCTAATCATTTTGGCATATGTTTAACACCAGGATTAGAAAAAGTACTTTATATCTGGATCTCGCAGCTAACGCTCCATCTAGTAACCTACCATTCCTTTGGGTACATTGCCATTCATATCAATTTAATCATACCTTGAGCACTTTTCTTTTTTTAGTTTGCTGTAGGTCACGTGTGTTTGTGTTCGCTGCGGGGTGGTGGTGGTGAGGGGGGGGTAGAAATTACCCCCAGAAGGGTGTGTCCATGCTGCAATCCCTCTCCATTCTCTGAGGGATTTTGGGCACACATGCCTGCAGTGTTTTTCAAGCTGCCAGGTTTGGGACACAAGCCATGCAACTGACCATGTGGGATCCAGCTGCCTTAACTATCACGCCACCTGCTGGTCCACTGAGTACTTATTTTATTCCAGCCCTGTAAACATTTGCTTGGTTGGGAGAATAATCTGTTGAAGTTATGAGATTTACTTCTAACATACCACTTCCGAGTGTGCTATGTGAGAATTCAGTGTTAAACATTGTGATATCTATCATCTCTTCTATCTTTAAAATACTGTTTCAATGAAGCCATTCTGATTGATCATCTGATACCAGAAAGTGACACCATTCTCTTACAAGTCAATAGTTATATCACATTTGCCCTTACCCATATATAGAGTAGCTTCTATAGACAGATCTGCCTAGTTTGGGCTGTTTCTTTACTAGTCTGTTGAGTCACTAGACAGCTTACTAAATCCAATCTCAGTTTTGTTGGCGGGCAAGGGGAAGTAGAAATGTAGGCAAATCCTTTGGAAACAATTCATGTGTTTTCTCCAAATTTTTAACTTTAAGGTGGTCTCTGAAATGAAAAAGAATAATGGATGATATTCTTGCCTCAAAGGATAATTTAAATTACAAAAAAAGAATCACATAACTAATTACAGCGTTCACCTGTCTGAACTATGCCATTTTGTAGTTGTCTTATTTACACTTGTTAATGGAAACTGCTATACTGATTCTAGCTATTGCCAAATTGTCCTTTAAAATGTCAGACTCTAGAATCTGCCATCTATCTTAGGGGAAATGTTCACTGTTATCTCCAAACTTGGACTTAAGCATTCTGTCCTAACAGAACTTCCATGCCATCTATTCCTCCTCCTCATAAAGGATCAATAATAATTCAAAACCCAATGCTTGTTTTCCTGTTTGTGGTCTATCAGTATTTCCTTTTTCTCACTAAAATGATTCTAAAGCCACATGGACGGAGATACATAGAGTTAAATATTTGATTTACTTTATGATGAGCCCATTTTAGCTAAGTGAAATAAATGCTTTGGCAGTGTGTTTCCTTTCAGAGGCAGTCGTTTGTAGCTCTTACACAGAAAATTACTTCATTATATCTTTGAATTTTCTCAGAGTCACCACAAACTATGGACATGTCAATTGTATTAGAAGATGAAAAGCCAGTGAGTGTCAATGAAGTACCAGACTATCATGAGGATATTCACACATACCTTAGGGAAATGGAGGTATGAGCTCTCTGAATTCTTTGTATACTATATTCATGAACTGTGGCTAAACTGAGGGTAAGTTTAACTACTTATAAAATAATCTAATGCTGTACCTAAGTGTACAGCAGGTAACATCTCTGTTACAGGTAAAACAACCTAATTATAACGCACCAATTTTCTGAACAGGTTAAATGTAAACCTAAAGTGGGTTATATGAAGAAACAGCCAGACATCACTAACAGTATGAGGGCTATCCTCGTGGACTGGTTAGTTGAAGTGGGAGAAGAATATAAATTACAGAATGAGACCTTGCATTTGGCTGTGAACTACATCGACAGGTTCCTTTCTTCAATGTCTGTTTTGAGAGGAAAGCTGCAGCTCGTGGGCACCGCTGCTATGCTGTTAGCCTCGTAAGTATAAAAGTGATTTTGACCCTTTCGTATAGGGAAGAAACTGATTTTTACCACACTACATTATTTTTGGGATAAAATGGTAAGGGTTGGAGAAAGTGGAAGAGGAAGCTTTTTAATTTAGAATATTCATTTTACCAGGTCAGGATTCCATGAATGTACATAGAAACTGGCTATACTCAGTATGCTACAACTAGATTACAAAATTGGGTTCCTTCTGTGGTTTCCAAAATGTAAGCACTGTCTTACTTTTGTATTAAGACATGGAAACTAAATTTAAGAACAAAAACTTAAAATGTTTATTTTCCTAAGATTTGCGTTTTTCTAAGTTTTCAGCTACTTGAAGCCTAGCATTGTTTCCATTTTAGGAAATCTCGTGTTTCTTATGTATGTACTTTGCATGTGGAGAAATATCTTGAAAGTCATTTATATTCTGTCCCTTTTAATTAGCAACCAGCTACCCAGCCTGTTAGAAATGATGGTTGGGGTGGACCAGCAGTTAGCATAACGGCTATGTCCCTGGACTCCCATGTAGTCGACCACGGTTCGAGTCCCGGGCCTGGTGGCTTAAACTTGCGCCAGGCGCATGTGCATGCGTGCCCAAGATCCCGAGAGAAGAATGGAGAAGGATTGCGGCGTGGCCATCCCCCCTGGGGGAGTGAATTCTTGCTTTCTGTCTGTCTCTTGTCTTTCTGGAGAGTGCACACACCCTATAGCAAAAACCTTTCAAAAAAAAAAAAAGAAATGATTGGGTATCATTGGAAATGCAATCGGTAGTGAGCATGGGTTTTGGATTCATTTCATATTTTGCTAATGGGATTGGAGAACTTGGATAGGGAAGCTTGCTTCTCTTTTAAGACTGATTTCTTAAAACTTTTTTCACTGCAGAAAGTTTGAAGAAATATATCCCCCAGAAGTAGCAGAGTTTGTGTACATTACAGATGATACCTATACTAAGAAACAAGTTCTGAGAATGGAGCACCTAGTTTTGAAGGTCCTTACTTTTGACTTGGCTGCACCAACAATAAATCAATTTCTTACCCAATACTTTCTACATCAGCAGCCTGCAAACTGCAAAGTTGAAAGTTTAGCAATGGTAAGTTATTTTCATTTTGTTGAATGGAGATCCTTAAGTAACAGGTAGGGGAATACTCTAGTTTTGCTGGACAGCTTTGGTCAAGAGATTTAGTATCTCAGAAACAGATTAATGCTGCAGCACAGAAAAATGCCTACTGTGGGCAAAGGATAATCAACCACTAGTAGCATGATGAATTAAACAGTTATTAGGAGGACGAGCAGTTGCTGTAATGGCTACAATGCTGGACTCCCATGTGGTTCGAGTCCTGGACCTGGTAGCTTAGACTCACGCCGGGCACGTGTGCATGTGTGCCCAAGATCCCAAGAAGAGAATGGAGAAGGGATTGTGGTGTAGCCATCCCCCCGGGGGGCGGTTTCTCGCTTTCTGTCTATCTTTCTGCCTTTCTGGCAAGTGCACGCACCCTATAGCAAAAACCTCTCCAAAAAAAGATATTAGGGTGGTTTTGTGGTGTAGTGATAAAGTGATGCTAAAGAGAAAGCACATCCCACATGGCAGCTGTGATTCAGAGGAAGGGGATCAGGTTATGACCGGACCCTGTGGGGAGTGCTCATCTCTGTCTCTCACACACGAGTGCGCATACACTCTAATCTTGAATAAAGGATATTATTAAAGAAGGGAAAATAGGGTCCAACAGGTGGTGTGGTGGTTAAGGTGCTAGACTCCCACATGACTGACTGGTTTGAGTCCTGTACCTAGAGGCTTGAATATTACTGGGCACGTAATGTGTGTGCATGCCCAAAATCCCAGGAGGAGAATGGAGAAGGGATTGCAGCGTGGCCATCACCCTGGGGGAGTGATTTCTTAGTCCCCTCTCACTGTCTCTGTCTCTTCCCAGTGAGCGCACATACCCTTTGGCAAAAACCTTAAAAGGGAGGGTGGGGATAGAGAACACTATGATGGTAGATATGTTTAAAGATAAGACCCAAGTTATTTTTTCTAGTACAGGACCACTATCACAGGAAAAAATTAGGTTAGACGGCAGGATTTGAGGTTTAAATTCTAAAGCTCTTGTGATCATAAAGTATTTTCCATTCCAGTTTTTGGGAGAATTAAGCTTGATAGATGCTGACCCTTACCTAAAGTATCTGCCATCCGTTATTGCTGGAGCGGCCTTTCATTTAGCACTCTACACAGTCACTGGACAAAGCTGGGTATGTATTATGTTTTCACACAACTGCCTTGTCATGGAACATCTTGTGCATGATAATTAAGTAACTGTCCTGACAATTTATGATGGTAGATGATGGCTGTTTAGATGTTCTGACTTGGAAAAACAGTCCAAAGAGATACTGTTCAAGGCATCAATAGCACCTGTAGGACAGAAAGCTCAGTTTTAACTTGATTTAAAAGGTATGTTTAAAATAGTCAAGCCATAGGACCTGCAGCTAGTAGAGGCAGCAGAAAGCATGAAAGAATGGAACAGTGGACTGAGAAGACTAGATTTGTTGGAGGTGTAAAGACTAGTTCTGAGGACCAGCAGACGGCGTGATAGTTACGTCACTGGTCTCCCACATGGCTGACCGTGGTTCAAGTCCTAGACCTGGTGGCTTCAAACTCAAGCCGGGCATGTGTATGTGCCCAAAATTCCAAGGGGAGAATGGAGAAGGGAATGAGGCATGGACATCCCACCTGAGGGAATGATTTTTCACTTTCTATCCTTTTGGCATGCCCTATAGCAAAAATCTCTTTTTATAAAAAAAGTTTATTTCTGAAGTTCAGTATACCAAAAGCCAAGTCATTATGTTTGGAGCCTATTACTGAAAACACAACTCATTGGCTCTCTACTCCTTCCCTGCAGCCTGAATCTTTAGTACAGAAGACTGGGTACACCCTGGACAGTCTCAAGCCTTGTCTCATGGACCTTCACCAGACCTACCTCAAAGCACCACAGCATGCACAACAGTCAATAAGAGAAAAGTACAAAACCTCCAAGTAAGAGCTCACTGGGGTAGATACTGAAGCTTGCTTTTCCTGATGACAGTTGAGAGATCGTTTACATTTTAACTTCATTAACAAGATACTATCTGCATGTCCTTAAGCTGTTTTCTTTATAGGTCATATTGAGAGATAGCTGTAATTAATAACTTCTACCCCATTTCTCAGAGAGAAGACGGGGGTGGGGAGTATGGGGTGGGGGGACATGTGTGTTTAGGGGGACCATATAATAAATAAAATCATCAACTCAGGGAAATAGCATTTTGAAAGATCAGCAGATGGCATAATGGTTATGTTATGAAATCTTGCTTTCGGTCTCTGTGTCTCTGGTGAGCACATGCCCTATAGCAAAAATCAAAAAAAGCAGAAGAGGCACTTTGAGGGACCAGCAGATGATGTAATGGTTACATTGCTGGACTCCCACATAATTGACCTTGGTTTGAATCCCAGACCTGGCAGCTTAAAACTCACGGTGGTTGCGTGTGCCAAAAATCCCGGGCGGAGAGGAGAAAGGACTGCAGCGTGGCCATCTCTGGTGGGGCATGATTTCTTGTGCCCTATCTCAAAAACTATTTTAAGAAAAAGCACTTTGAGTCCCTGGTACTTGTACTATCCCATGATCTTCTTGACCCATGGATGCTTACTCAATGTTTTTTCTGCTTACAGGTATCACGGTGTTTCTCTCCTCAACCCACCAGAGACACTAAATGTGTAATAGTGGAAAGACTGCCTTTGTGTTCTAAGATGTAAATCACTCGAAAAATATGGTGTACAGTTTTTATCTTAGGTTTTAAATTTATAATCATTTCCAAATTACAAGTTATGGCCAAGTACAAATTATGGTATCTATTCCTTTTTAAATGGTTTTAATTTGTATATCTTTTGTACATGTATCCTAGATATTTGGCTAATTTTAAGTGGTTTTGTTAAAGTATTAATGATGCCAGCTTTTAGGATAATAATAATCAATAAATTGATTTGGAAAGTGTTTGCAAGTCACATTTATATTTGAGATAAAAATCTGACTTTTTCAGGATTTCACTTTGAAAAGTTATTAACTTGGCCTTCCTGTACAATGGGGAGTGGGAGCCTTCCCTTGAAATTAGTTTTTAGGAAAATGGACCCTCAAGATATGACGTTTTCCTCGGCAACTGGACCAATCTAATCTGCTGACTTGGCCTCATCTAAGCATATGGGGAAGCAATCTGCACTTATCAGTACAGTGAAGACCTTTAGCTATTTCAGCTCGTGGACAGCCTGTGCAAATGCTTTTTCATCCCTCCTCACCTTTTACACTTTACCCAGGTCATGGTTACTTAAAACCTATTAAGGTTTTCAGAGGACGAAAACAACAGAGGTTATGGATGAAGTGGGAAGCTTTTGTGCACACAGACATTAAGTTCTCCAGAAGTTTATTTTAAAACATAATGTAAAAAAGGCAAAAAAATAAAAAATAAAAAAAGACTATATATGAAAATACACTAGATTTTATAATGGATTTGTGAATAAAAAAATACCCAGGATTGTTAGCACTGAATAAATATCCTTTTAATAGTTATATGCAACTGTTAGCTTTAATTAGCAGCTCTCTTCTTTTTTCTCTTTTTCACTGGCTTTTTACTTGGTGCTTTTTCTTGTTTTGTATTGACGGTCTGTGTTCTGTGAATAAAAGTAAATTAAAAGTTTGCTAACAGAACGTGTGTGTGAAATTTTGGATCAGTGAAAACAGGAGGCTTTACTTTTCCCAGCAGGATACAAAATGTGGGATCTCTCAGTAAGGTGCAGGAACTCGGAAAAGCGCCCCAACACTTTGCAGAGTAAGAGTAAAAAATAAATAGAACAGGGATAATCTGATAAAAAGGGATATCTTTTTGGTTATAGCCTTTTGGGTTTATTTACAGTAAGATGTGAATAAAACATGAAAGCAAGCCTCTAAAAGTTTCAGTATGTGGATAAATACATTTGAAATAAGGCAGAAATCGGTTACCTTATTTTTTTTGGATTCTTGTCCGGTTCCAAAATGATCATTTCCTCTTCTTCACTATCTGAGAGTACTATAGGAGCATCTTAAAGAAAAGTTTTTAAGACAGCAATATAAGTAAACTCTTACAAAATTTCCACAGGGACTTATTTTAAATAACCAGGTTCTAAAACTTAGATCTCCATTCTGATAAAGCGCCTGAGCTACTCTCCAGGTGGGGCATGCACGGACACATACCCAACACGCCCTTCTAGCTCTCAGAGCTAGGATTCAAACTGCACGGTTAGCCCTGTAGGACATAGCTCCCTCAATTGCTAGACCACAGAGCTGACCCCAAGTTTAAACGAGAAAATATTTAGTTCCCCTATGAAAGGAATATATTATCCCATATATGTGTGTGTGTATACATGTGCATAAATGTCTACATGACTATATATTATGCAATGTACAATATGTTATCTTTAATAACCTGTGTGTGCGTATACATACAAAATATCTTTATCATATAAAAAACAATGCCACCTACCTTGGTTTCCAATATCAGAGACTTCTCCAGTTTCCATTTTTATACTATCGAGAATGATAGCTTCATCATCACCACCTTCCTCTTCTTCCTTCTCAGAGTCTTCAAGATTGCCCCAGGAGTTTTCAATTCCCTCTCCAATTTGAGCAGTGCCAGGAGTCCATAACACAGGTTTTGAGACACTTCACAAGTTAAGAAAACTGAGTGACAAAAACACTGCTATCTGATGGACCACTGAAGAGATGAGACTGAAAATTTTCTTCTAAGATTGATCTAAACGTGTCCCAAATGCTTAAGGAAAAATTTTTACTATAGTTATACTATGGATGGCTAAACAATAATGAAAAAATAGAATTTATAATTCAGGAATTTATGGATATAATTAACATAGGTTCTCAATATTTTAGCTGCAGTAATAAACTTAATGAATAATTTCAAATATATATATATTGTATAAAATGCTTCAATTCTTAAAGAATAGTCGTCCCCCCCGCCCCGCAGGAAATGAAATGTTGTGAATTGGTTCTTAAAGGATTTTTGTTTTTGTTTTTTGCAGGATAACTGAAGGGATGCTGGATGTTAAAGGTATGAACAATATGATTTACATCTTTATCTTGAATCATAGTATTTTCTCTAACAAAGTACCACAAAGTACCATGTTTCAGGAAACACATTTCAGTATACACGCCCTTCCGTACACACAATAATAGCAAAAAAGTAACGAATCTTGCTGGACTATAAGAGCCACACAATAAAGATACACTTCTGCTGGAGGTTCAGCTTCAGCAATGATTCCTTCTGCTTTCTCCTCTACATCGGAGGTGTCGATAGGGGCCTTTTCCATTTTAAATGCTGTTATCCTTTGATTTGCTATAGACTCTGCGAAGCCAAACTTTCCACCTTCTTTCCTGTGTGTGGGGGTTTGGGAAGCAGCAGGTAGAAGAAAGGATAAAGACAAAATGGGAAAGAAGGGAGGAAAGAAAAAAAACACTTTAGTCTTTGGTGGATGAGAAAATATTGGAACAGAGTTAGTTTATCTGACTAACTTATCCTCACCAATTTATTATGTCTATCAGCCATGCACTAGGTAAGTGCCTTGATGCTTAAAGTAAATTACTTAATTGTCAAATCAGCCCTACCAGGGAGGCATCAGTCTCCCATATTTTCTGGAAGAGAAAACAAGTGCTGGGTTATTTATCTTGCTAAATATTAATCAGTCTGAATAGAGATGGGAATCAATCCTGCTTATGTTCATTACACTAATTCTACAGTTAATAGATTTTTTTCTAAGAAAATGTTAACTTGTAAAGAAAAATCGTACATGGCTTTTCAATACAGGCTATGTTTAAATTGGAATAAAGTACAGTAAACAGCACACCATTAACTTCCAAAGCCATACTAAGTAGTATTGGGTCAACAGAAAGGTCATCCCATATTTTTCTGTTTTCCTATGCAAAAATGCATCATGACTTTTTCACCAACCCAACACATTCAACACAAGGAAAGATCAAGTGCAAACATTATCTGGTTGCCCTTGTGCAAGAAAAGCCTTTAACAGGGAAAAAAATGTACAGAAAAGACCACTTAGTGCTGAAGAAATTAAACGTACCGAACTTTCTGGTCATTCTCCAAAGCTTTCTGGATTAGCTCCGTGATTTCTGCTACTTTCACGCCAGCTATTTTACTGCATCTCAAAACCTATTTATAAGAGTGAATTCTGTTAACTTAAAGACAACAAACTAAATGGCTTTCTCTAATAAAACTAAAACCACACAATTAATATTTTTACCTTTATAATTCAGACCTGACTTTTAAAACTTTCAAATATGAAAATGTCACATAAACACAAATTAAGGTGAAAGTTGTTTTAAAATATATGAAGAACTATCACATTAAGGGAACTGACCTCAAAACTTTCTCATACAACAGTGTACAAGATACTGTGCAAGAGGCCAAGCACATGAGAGGATTTCAAAAAGTTCACTTAGAAAAATGAAATTAAAGTATACGTTTACTTGGTGGGAAAAAAATTCTGAAATCCATGCATAGCTTTTTCATAATACCATGACCTTTTTTTGCCATCTATTTGCCATGATCTTTTTGAAGTCCCCTCATCTGTGCTCAGGGTCATATTACAGTAACTTCCTTTCTGTGTGAGTAATCCACAGAAATAGGGCCTTGAACCATGTAGTTAGCCATGTGGGACCCAGTGCTTTAACCACCATACCACAGGCTACCCCCACGATAGAGTTGGAGTGTTTTGTTCCTACCTTTTTTTTTTTTTTGAGACCTATTCTTAACAGGACATCAATCAAAGCACTAACCTGATCTTTCAGTAGCATTATCCCACCACTGGACTGGATGGTACAAATCTCCCGATGCTTGTTCATGGCGATCACCAGCAGGCCATCCATCACACGTTCTTCTCGTTCATTGGGATCCACTAATAAATATGTTCTGAAATGAACAAAAATGTGGGTAACATCAATTTGGTTCACTTTAAAACTGCCCCAATGTCCTACACTCTGAAGTTCTTCTGAGTTCCACTAATGGTCCACTTAAAAAATATCACAAAGGCAGCCCCAAAGCTTAGTGGTTAAGGGAGCAGAACTCCACATAGCCGAATGCAGTTCAAATTCCAGCCCCAGCAACTTAACAAATAAGCCCATCTCGTGTGTGTGCATGCTGTAATTTCAGGTGGGACAGAAGAATGGACAAAGGACTGCAGAGTGAGCACGACCCACTGTAGGTGCTATTGCCATCTCCCCCCCTCTCTGGTAAGTGCATGTGCTCTCTGGTAACTAAAGAAAAAAATAAAAACCATCTATTTCTGCAACATCCAATAGATTAGCCAATCCTGAGCCCTTGAAATGTGGCCAGTCCAAACCAAATATGCAGATGACTTGGTGGAAATAAAGAATATAGACTATCTCATGAACAAAATTTTTAAATACTGATAACAATAAGATGAAAAATTTTTTTCATAAATTTATTTATAGGGGGACCAGCAGTTGGCATAATGGCTATGTTGCTAGATTCCCATGTAGTCAACGGCGGTTTGAGTCCCGGACCTGGTGGCTTGAACTCACGCCGGGAACCTGTGCGTGCGAGCCCAAGATCCCTAGAGGAGAATGGAGAAGGGACTGTGGTGTGGCCATTCCCCACTGGGGGGTGATTTCTTGCTTTCTAGCTCTCTGTCTCTCTCTGTCTTTCTGGCGAGTGCACAAGCCCTATAGCAAAATCCTCTCAAAAGAACAAAAACAAAACTGAAAAAAAATTACCTATAGGATAGAGGTGTTCACCAGAAAGACAAAGAGAGGGAAAGTGAGAAACCACCCCCCCCACCCCTCAGGGGACGGTCACACCACAATTCCTTTTCCTCTCTTCTCAGGATTTTAGGCACACATCCACACAACCCAGGAGGCAGCCAGGTCCAAGATTTGAACTGCAAAGTCAGCCATGTGGGATCCAGCTTCTTAACCATTATGCCACAGGCTGGCCCCTCGTTTTACCTTTTAAAGTGAGTACTAGAAACTACAGGACAATATTGGTCCATTTCCCTCTACTGAAACTCTACACTACAATCACTGTAAGCTGAAAGCTTTTCTCTAGTCTTTACACACAAAATTATTAAATATTTATAACTCCCATCTTTCTAAAGAGACTTAAGTAAGCATAAGTGTTAATTTAGAGCCACCATTACATAGACCTAAAAGAATCCAGACTTCCCATGTTAAAAGACTTAGAAATGAGTTGCAAGGAAACCACCAGATGGCCAAAGGATACCAGTTTTTTCCCCCATTATGTAAGCCATCTCCCTTATAATGCACTCCTAGAACTACTGCATCCAACACACTCTAAGTCCCCTGTCTCCCATTCATTCAAGCAATTCTTATTCCCACTTTCTCAGATTAAAGTCCAGCAGATAATTCTCTTAACACATGTACATCTCTAGGAAAGATGACATGAAACCATGCCACAGGAAATTCATCAACGTACAAGCATGCCATGAAAAAAAATGCGACTTCATGACAGAAGAGTTTTGTCACTTCTTTTGAGAAAGCATTTTACCAATTATTCCCTTGCAAAGAAAAAAGAATGATACATACTTTACTATTGAACGAAGGGTTTGTTCATTTGTCCATGACATATATGAGTACAGCAATAAAGTTCCAAGCTGCATTTATCACTTTTGCCTAAGAAAGGTAAGACGTACCCTTGCTGGAAGAAGGCAAAACTGACACAAATAGGCATGTGGTGTATACTCAATGGTACGGGATCTCGCTCCTCGGGTGTATACTGTTTTGAAAGAAAAGGTTCAAAATTACAGTCACTTTCGAAGAAGCTTCCAATTTTTTTCAGTGAAACAGAGGGGACTTTGATTTTACACTGTCTCCAGCAATTCACTGTAGCATTTTTAAATTCATTTCTTTTTCAAGTCTACTAATTGCTCTTTATTCCTTTTTTTAAAAACTTCTTTAGACCAACTCCCTCCTCTAAAGGAATATTATCTCTGCTGTTAGTAAATCTTTGCCCACTTCTAAGTCTTCCTGAAGAGTCTGCTCTAGTATAACGCCTAAAAGCAGTATTGTACATATGGCTGCTTTGAAAATGTGGGCGCCTGATGTCTCTCTTTGCACCTTCAGGACTCAAACTGTGATTATAGTGTTCTTTCATTATCCTGGAATATAAACTTGTGTAAGTTGAAATGGACATACCCAGCACAAAAAATGAAGACAACACAGGTCAACAGTTTTCAGAATGTGGTCCAGGGGCCACCCAGAAACTCTTTTAAGTTAGAAGTGTAAATTCTTAGGTCTTACTCTGGAAATGGAGACTTATGTTTTAAGAAATCCTCCAGATACTTCTAGACTTCTCTCATCTATTTTGCTTAATGAACCAAAGTTCTGGTGAGAGATTTGAATTTACTGATTCCTAGTCCTCTTCAGTTACTCCATGCCTCCGCAGAGTGACTATCTCACTGTGCTGAGAATCATGTAGTTTTCATACACATGGCCCCTAAACAGAAGTCAACCACTTGTCCTCATTCAATTATATTCTGGAAGACCAAGCTCAGATGTATTTTTATTGACAGACACTTCAATATATGAAATGTAAAAGACTTCTAGGGCTATTCTGACCATGTGTAGTTTTTGTTCTTATGAACAAATTTTAGAGCCCAGCTACCCACCATCCTCATCACATCTGCACGTCTAGGAAACTCTTTTCATCACAGGCAGGATCCTGGTTCCCAGCATGAGAGCTTACCAGTGTTACTTCATCTCCCTGGACAGAGACATCCGGTCTTCGGAAGTGACATAAGGCCACGATTGCAGCAATGCTGGCAGCATCAATAATATTTCCATCATGATTTAATAAATGGAGATCTACACGTATTTGCCAAACCTGGAAGTGAATTTAAAATAAAAATAAATCCTTAACTGATGGCAACCAGTGGCTACATATAAGGAAAAGTTAATACTGCCTGCTTCAACTGACTCATTTAAATAACATAGGAAAATGAGAGAGTATATAAAAAGCCACACATTTTTTGAATAAATCAGTTTTACACAAATCTAAATGGTTATTTTTATCTTTTTAAGACAACGGGCCCAGGGGCTGGCAGGTAGTGTGGTAAAGGGTGCTGGACTCCCACACAGCCCATGCGGTTTGAGTTGTGGACCTGGCGGCTTGCTTTCTCACTTTTTCTCCGTCACTCTGTCCCTCTCTGGTCAAATTAAAAAATAATTCTTTAAAGAAAAGAAAAGAAAAGAGAAAATGGGCCCTTCAGAGACAGATGGTATAAAGTTCCAAGGGTAGAACTCAGGAACATCTGATGTGAAATGAACCAGCAGAAAACCAAATGAACTAGAGCTCTGAGAATGGAAGCATAGAGGCTAGTCCCCATGAATCAACAATATTCATCCTAAGATTAAGAATTTCGGGCATATTCCACACCTTCTCACCAGCAACAACACAGAGAGATTCAGTGTCTATACACTTCGAATTTCTCAGACATCTTTCCAAGAGTCGATTCAGTTTCACCAGGAGATCTGACTGCCTACAAAAATAGGAAAAAGCTAATGCCATAAAATATAACACCACATACTAAAACAATAGCTCGCTACTCTTAGATTTGCCTATGGCTAAAAGCATAGAAAAAAGATTTAAATACCTGCCAGGTTCAAAAGCTGGAGCAGCCATCTGAGACAGTTCGAGGTTAAAAAAAAGAATACCTTCTGTTGCCCTGTTGAGTTTTGGAGAAACAAGTTCACAGGAAACCTGTCCAAGGACTCTGCAAAAATAAAGGTACAAAGCAGTTAAATATATATATTTCCTTTCAAAATTTAAAGCAATCATATACTCAGCACAATTTACCATAAGAGGTAGAACTACATATGAAATACAGTAAACTATATGCAGAAATAAAATACATTTTGGCATAGCTAAACAGAAGACAGAAAAAAACAGCTCTCTTTTTACAAAATTTGGTACTCTATAATTTTTCTTTTTCTTTTTTTTTTTTGGAGAGGTTTTTGCTATAGGGCGCGTGCGCTCACCAGACAGACAGAGAGAAAGCGAGAAATCACTCCCCAGAGGGGATGGCCACGCCGCAATCCCTTCTCCTCCATTCTCCTCTCACGATCTTGGGCACACACGCACACGCACCAGGCGTGAGTTTAAGCCACCGGGTCGGGGACTTGAACAGTGGTTGACTACGTGGGAGTCCAGTGACATAGCCATTACGCTAACTGCTGATCCCCTCTATAATTTTTCTTAAATCAATAATCTTTTATTTCTCCTTTCTAAAATATTTAATGGTACAATATGGCATGAAAACTTCAGGTTTCTTAAGGGCCTTCCTGTGTTCACCAACATTATTTTACCAAATAGACTCATGACATTCAAATGAGAATTAAAAACCCAATTCACCTGTCACTCGAGAAAAAGCGGAAGGTGGGATCTACTTACTGACAAGATGTTAAAAATCTTTACATTCTTCACATTAATAAGAGAGTGAACGTGCAGAAACAAGTTCTGCTTAATCACTGTTGTCTACATGATTTAACTTGAACAGTGGTTGACTACGTGGGAGTCCAGTGACATAGCCATTACGCTAACTGCTGATCCCCTCTATAATTTTTCTTAAATCAATAATCTTTTATTTCTCCTTTCTAAAATATTTAATGGTACAATATGGCATGAAAACTTCAGGTTTCTTAAGGGCCTTCCTGTGTTCACCAACATTATTTTACCAAATAGACTCATGACATTCAAATGAGAATTAAAAACCCAATTCACCTGTCACTCGAGAAAAAGCGGAAGGTGGGATCTACTTACTGACAAGATGTTAAAAATCTTTACATTCTTCACATTAATAAGAGAGTGAACGTGCAGAAACAAGTTCTGCTTAATCACTGTTGTCTACATGATTTACAGAGGTCAGAAAGAACTGTTACACTCATGATAGAAAGTATTGTTATAATCAAAAATTTAAAGTGTGACCACAAAACTAAAAATACTTAACACTAAGGAAAATGCTTATTTTTATCAGCTAATCAAAGCACTGTCTAGACTGCTTTGAAAACAACCGAGTCAGTAGGATTCTTTTCCAAATCTGTCCCCGTTGAATCAGCATCTTCCCTGTATTATCTGTTACCTTGTCTTCCCAAGTTCCACAATACAGCACCCATAATCTGTACCAAACGAGATCTTGACGTTCCTATAATCATAGGTTTGTCTGCCATCCAGCCGCTGTAAGCATAACATTCATTCATTTAGTCCTTCAACAAGTATTTCTTGAGTAACTATTATACTTTCGTATTTGGCCTCGGGCTAAGAACTTGGAAAAAGCAGGGAACCCTAACCAACCCACCTCACCACCTCAACTAAGCAGAAAAATGGAAATTACAATAGATGCCCGGGCACTGACAGTTACTTCTTGAAAAGGACCCGTGGGGGCAAAAGAACGCCCGGAGGTTGGGAGACTGTACCGACCTTTCCCTAGAAGCACCCGAGCCCACGCGGGCCAGGTCTGTAAGTCCGCATGGTGCGATCCGAGCGTCCACACAGCGCGCAGTTCTGCGGGATCGCTTACCTTCTTCTCCTCGATCGCACGAAGCAAGAAGCGGCGCTCGCAGTTCGAGAGTGGGGTTTCCTTCATGGTGTTGGCGCACCTGCCCCTCCGGCCCTAGAATCTGCCAGGAAAAGGAAACCGATTTCCTCGCGTTTAAGCTGCCCACTAGGTGACGCCGGAGAGTAACGTCATCAAGGCGCGCCGGCTGCTGGTGGGAAAGCACAGGCTCGGGCGTCGCTAGTGCGCAGACTCGGAGCAAGGTTGGGGCGGGGCCAGCGGCCGGAAGGCGCTCCTGGGACTGGAGGACGGCATCCCGAGCGGGAAGTTCGATTTGTTTCCACGTAACAGCGTGAAGAAGCGCACCCGAAGAGAGCTGTTGGGGTGACAAGTTATTATCAATACGCCGCTCTCACGCTTCACCCACAGTCCTTCGGGGTTTAGGCTGCACGGGCTTTACTGCTCTTTCACAGATGAGGAAGTTGACTCGCGGCCCCGAGGAAGCCGCCGAAGACGCCTTGGAGCGGATTTAATTCAGAAACCTTGGAATGAGGTGGCGTGGATTGGGGCGCGGAGAAGACAGGAGAGACGGTGAGCTCGGATGATTGCGGGCCGAAGATGAAACCTCGTGCGGCCCGAGAAGGTGACAGAAATTGAGAACGTTCTTGCTTTAATGGTGTGGCTTGAGACTAAACCCGCTGCTAGATCTTATAGTCGTATAGGTTGTCTAGTTATTTTAAGGCGGTAGACTTAATTTTACAGGTGTAGAGAAATCTTAATGGGTCTGTGCTGCCAACCATTCGGCGTCTTTGGAGAGGGAATAAATATCGCAGAGTAGTTTAAAAGCAGAAACCCTAACCTGCCCGGTTTCTGAGTCTGCTCTTAGGGGGCAAGTTTCTTAGCCTATGTGCTTTGCTTAACTCTCCTGAAAAATAAGGGCGGTAAACCCAGGTGTTAGGAAGGACTAAAACGAGTTCATGCACTCAGTGTAGAATGTTTAGACTGTCACCGGCCTGGAGAAAGCTCCGTGCAAATGTTTCCTATTCCTTTTTTCTGTAGAGGTGGTAGTCAGGTAACTCCTGCAGAGGCTCCTTTGGGCTGCCGTTGTCTCCTTAGAGGTTTTTCCTACCAGTGATAGGTTTGATTCTCAAATATACAGCACGTGTAATATTTAAAGAGCTACTGTGCTCAAGGTTCGTTCGAGTGCTGGAGAGACAGGGTGGACGACCTTCTTTGGGGAAATTTACTTTCTCTTTGCAAGAAACAATAAAATACCTAAACCGCCAGCGGGCTGTGTAGAAGGTAAGGTGGTTGGAGCCCACATGGCCTACTATGCAATTGGAGTCCTGACTGGGTGGCCAGAAATCCACCAGTGTGCGTGCCTAAAATTCTGACAGGAGAATAGAGAAGGGGTTGCACCACCATTATCCCTGGGAAGTACTTTCTTACTTTCCCCCTCTGCTTCTCTCTCTCTCTCTGGTGAGCACATTTGCCCTATAACTAATTATAGTAATAATAACAAATAATAATTACTCTGTGTTAAGTAATTTCAGTGAAAACATCTAATAATAGACTGTTTTCGATAGTATAGCTATTCAAACATTAGTTTCTTTTCTCTTTTGAATTGACAAAGGTTTTCCAGGGACTGTTCCATATTCTGCATGTTAGATTGCTGTTTGATTATTTTGATTTTGCTTTTCCTTCCACTTTTGTAGAATTTTCACTGTTCTTACCTACTTTCACTATTATATTACTCGCATTGTAATATTAACAATCCTGTATTTGTCTTTTATTGGAGTTAACCAAAGTTTTATGACCCATTTGCATTTACATCTTCATTACTTTACATCCTTGTTTTTAATAAGAAACTTTGTGGGTTTTGTTGTTTGTTTGTTTGTTTTTTGCCTTAGTGGGCTTGTGTGTGCCAGAGAGACACAGAGAGGGAAAGTGAGAAATCAAACCCGAGGGGAATACAACGACTTCGCAATCCCTTCTCCAGTCTCTTGGGATATGGGACATGCACACAGTTAGCACGCAGTCATCCCTAGGATAACTTTCAAGCAGCTAGGTCCAGGATTCAAACTGCGGTTGGCCATGTGGGAGTCCAGCACCACCTGCTGGCTCAGTAAGAAACTTCTGAAATACCTAGTCTGACATTTTTTTCATACTTTCAAGAGATAGTTTAAGTTCGACAAGATGTGCAGAAATTGTTTGAAATTCTGCTCTTTTAGAAAATCAGTTTGAGTTAGCGTGAATGATCCATCAAAAATAATCTGATTCTCAACAAAATATTGTTGTATACATCCTTTGTATGGAACATCTTTTGTTTGCCTGACTGGTACCCAATATTTCTTGGAGAAATGTCCTTTCCTGATTCCATGTGATTCTGGTGTTAATGTTAATAGCAGGTATGGGTGTGACCAGACCCTGCTAACATGGGACCCTATTCAGGTCTCCCTGCTGACTCTTCACTTAGCCAGAGCCCAGGAGAGTTCCTCCAACAGTCTTGACATCTGAACTGGGTGAGAGAGAAGATCTTTCCTTCTCTCAGATTATAAACCCTAAAACCTATGCAAGCCTGGAACTGGCAAAGGCCATTTGCCCCTACTTGGAAAGAACCTGTTTGAAGATGAAGTCATAGTGAGACAAGCAGAACTGAGAAACATGAGGGAGAAACGGGAGTCCGTATGTGGAAATCAACTTTGCACATTTTCTTGGACCTTCCAGTTAGGTGAACTAATACATTTGAGTTGATCTCTTTTTAATTGTGTCTAGAAGAATCCTAATATACTTCTGTTGGCGTATAGCGATCCATGTCTTAGTAATCTTTGTAGCACACACTGAAACTAGAAGGGTACCTACTGAATAAATGGATAGATGGTCTGTTATAACACAGAAAGAATTATAGAATGGATAAATGAATGAACAGATGAAAACTTTTCATTTACCATATAATATGTATGCCATACAATTTGTCTGTATAGAAGCTGGTTTCCTAAGTTATCGGAGGGAAATAATATGAAATGTTAAAAATGGCTAGCAGTTGGTGTAATGGCTATGTCACTGGACTCCCACGTAGTCAACTCTGGTTTGAATCCTGGACCCGGCAGCTTAAACTCACTCCGAGTGTGTGTGCGTGCCTGCCCAAGATCCCAAGAGGAGAATGGAGGAGAGGGGATTGTGTCTCTCTCTCTCTCTGGTGAGCACATTTGCCCTATAACTAATTATAGTAATAATAACAAATAATAATTACTCTGTGTTAAGTAATTTCAGTGAAAACATCTAATAATAGACTGTTTTCGATAGTATAGCTATTCAAACATTAGTTTCTTTTCTCTTTTGAATTGACAAAGGTTTTCCAGGGACTGTTCCATATTCTGCATGTTAGATTGCTGTTTGATTATTTTGATTTTGCTTTTCCTTCCACTTTTGTAGAATTTTCACTGTTCTTACCTACTTTCACTATTATATTACTCGCATTGTAATATTAACAATCCTGTATTTGTCTTTTATTGGAGTTAACCAAAGTTTTATGACCCATTTGCATTTACATCTTCATTACTTTACATCCTTGTTTTTAATAAGAAACTTTGTGGGTTTTGTTGTTTGTTTGTTTGTTTTTTGCCTTAGTGGGCTTGTGTGTGCCAGAGAGACACAGAGAGGGAAAGTGAGAAATCAAACCCGAGGGGAATACAACGACTTTGCAATCCCTTCTCCAGTCTCTTGGGATATGGGACATGCACACAGTTAGCACGCAGTCATCCCTAGGATAACTTTCAAGCAGCTAGGTCCAGGATTCAAACTGCGGTTGGCCATGTGGGAGTCCAGCACCACCTGCTGGCTCAGTAAGAAACTTCTGAAATACCTAGTCTGACATTTTTTTCATACTTTCAAGAGATAGTTTAAGTTCGACAAGATGTGCAGAAATTGTTTGAAATTCTGCTCTTTTAGAAAATCAGTTTGAGTTAGCGTGAATGATCCATCAAAAATAATCTGATTCTCAACAAAATATTGTTGTATACATCCTTTGTATGGAACATCTTTTGTTTGCCTGACTGGTACCCAATATTTCTTGGAGAAATGTCCTTTCCTGATTCCATGTGATTCTGGTGTTAATGTTAATAGCAGGTATGGGTGTGACCAGACCCTGCTAACATGGGACCCTATTCAGGTCTCCCTGCTGACTCTTCACTTAGCCAGAGCCCAGGAGAGTTCCTCCAACAGTCTTGACATCTGAACTGGGTGAGAGAGAAGATCTTTCCTTCTCTCAGATTATAAACCCTAAAACCTATGCAAGCCTGGAACTGGCAAAGGCCATTTGCCCCTACTTGGAAAGAACCTGTTTGAAGATGAAGTCATAGTGAGACAAGCAGAACTGAGAAACATGAGGGAGAAACGGGAGTCCGTATGTGGAAATCAACTTTGCACATTTTCTTGGACCTTCCAGTTAGGTGAACTAATACATTTGAGTTGATCTCTTTTTAATTGTGTCTAGAAGAATCCTAATATACTTCTGTTGGCGTATAGCGATCCATGTCTTAGTAATCTTTGTAGCACACACTGAAACTAGAAGGGTACCTACTGAATAAATGGATAGATGGTCTGTTATAACACAGAAAGAATTATAGAATGGATAAATGAATGAACAGATGAAAACTTTTCATTTACCATATAATATGTATGCCATACAATTTGTCTGTATAGAAGCTGGTTTCCTAAGTTATCGGAGGGAAATAATATGAAATGTTAAAAATGGCTAGCAGTTGGTGTAATGGCTATGTCACTGGACTCCCACGTAGTCAACTCTGGTTTGAATCCTGGACCCGGCAGCTTAAACTCACTCCGAGTGTGTGTGCGTGCCTGCCCAAGATCCCAAGAGGAGAATGGAGGAGAGGGGATTGTGACATGGCCATCTCCTCTGAGGGAGTGAGTTCTCACTTTCTGTCTCTCTGTCTCTCTCTGTCTTTCGGGCAAGCGCATGCGCCCTATGGCAAAAACCTCTGGGGGGGGGCGTTATCTCTGGGTGGTGGGAATCAAGAAAAATTGTTTTCTCTTTTTATTCACAAATTTTTCAAAATTTTCTCTAAGGTATATGAATAGCTTTTATTATTAGAAAATAAAAATATGTTTTCCTTCTATTCTGAGATACTTAGCTGGTTTCTTATTTAGGGGAATTTTTACTTTCAAGTACTTTTTTATTTTGTGTATTTTTTTCTTTTCCTCTTTTTATTTCTTATCTTGCCTTTTTCTAAGTGTGTTGTTTTTGTTTTGTTTGTTTTTGCTTCAAGGCATGTGTTCTTGGGGGAGAGGCGAGAGACAGCGATAGGGAAAGTGAGAAATCACCCCCCTGGGAGGATGGCTATGCTGCAGTTCCTTTTTCCTCCATTCTCCTGGGATTTGGGGCACACATGTATACATATCTGGCATGATTTTCAAACTGCCAGGTCCAAGATTCAAATAGTAGTCAGCCATATGGGAGTTTAGTGCCTTAACCACCACACCATGTGCTAGCCCGTCAACTGCATTTTTTAAAAAGAGAGATTTTTGCTATAGGGCACATGCTTTCACCGGAGAGACAGAGACACAGAAAGTGAGAAATTACATCCCCAAAGGGGGATGGCCACACCATAATCCCCTCTCCTCCATTCTTCTCTCAGGATTTTGGGCACGCACACTCACACACCCATCCAGCATGAGTTTAAGCCACAGGGTCCAAGGCTGGAAATCATGGTTAACTATGTGGGAGTCCAGTGACATAACCGTTATGGCATCTGCTAGTCCCTCGACTACATTTTTCTAAAAATAATTATTTAATTTAATTTTACTTATTTATTTTTACTTATTTTAATTTGACCAGAGAAGGACAGAGTGAGTGACTGAGAGAGTCAGAGGGAGACGGACGGAGGGAAAGTGAGAAAGCAAGCTGCCAGGTCCAGGATTTCGTGGTTGGCAATGTGGAAGTCCAGTGCCCTTAACCACCATGCCACCTGCCAGCCCTGCTCAACTACATTTTTACAAAACCATATTTTATCATTTTTGCAGACTCAGGCTTCATACCACATATCAGTTAATATGTTGAGAAGGTTTTCTGCCTTGACAACTGAACACTTTGTCCGATGTAGTGCATATTTCCCTTCCATGGTTTTTCTTGACATTATGGATTTTTTAAAAAAACATACTCATGGGCCAGCAGGTGGTGTGGCAGGTAAAGGAGCTGATTCTCACTTGGCCGACTGAGGTTTGAGTGCTGGACTTGGTGGCTTGCTTTCTCCCTTTCCCTTTCTCTGTTTCTCTCTGGTCAAATTAAAAAATAATAACATGGTATTAAATAAATAATTCTTAAAAAAATACTCATTTGACTCTATTTCTGGCTTGTACTGGAATATTTAAGAGAGCTTTCCCTTTCATTTTTACATATTGGTATGTCCAAAGAGCTATATAATAATATGATTTGTAATAATATCTCTCATGTTATTATTAAGCCTTTTTAGTATGTTTAGAGGTTTAAGAAATGTTCTGTGTTCAGTTTATCATAAATACAACAAATGAGGAAGGAAGGGAAATGAACATTTTTATTTCCACTGGACTCAGATTGGAGTAGTGTGTGGGTAATCCTAGACATGAGGAAAACTGGGCATATGGCTCTTAGACACATCACTGAAGTCTTTGATCTATTCTCAGCTATAACATGCAGGTTCTTGCTCCTTGATAAACATCTGTAGGAAATTATGTGGTTTAATGTCTAAGCAATAAGTATGTTTCAAAAAGTTCTGTGTCAGTTACATTTTTACAAATAAAAATTATAAATTAAGTAGAATTTTTTATTGGGGGTTAAACTTATTGTAATGCAACTAACTTATAGTGTTGTAGGTAAACTAAAGCCCCTCTCAAAGATGTCCATGCCCTGTAGAATCCGTGAATATGTTACCTTATGTAGCAAAAGTTAATTTGTAGCTATGAGTAAATCAAGGATTTTGAGATGGAATTATTCTATATTATCTGGGTGAGTCAGTATTATTAAAAGAGTCCCTATAAGAAGGCACTAGAGGGACCAGCAGTTAGCATAATGGCTATGTCGCTGGACTCCCAAGTAGTCGACCGCGGTTCAAGTCTGGGACCCAGTGGCTTAAATTCATGCCGGGCATGTGTGCGTGTGTGCCCAAGATCCCGAGAGGAGAATAGAGGAGAATGGATTGCCGCGTGGCCATCCCCCCTGGGGGGTGATTTCTCACTTTCTGTCTCTCTGTCTCTATCTTTCTGGCG